ATCTTAACAGGACAATCTTAATGTACAACCACATAATCAACCAGGTTTCAAAGTCAGACCATCATCAGTCACTATTAGGTTAACTTACATGAAATAAATAATGATATCTCATTCTTTAAGGTGGTACTGCCGACCCTAAATGGCCCACAGATTACGTCACCTTTCAGAACCTGTAAGGGTTACTTTGCACCTGTTCTAACCCACAATCCCCACAGGCTTAATCTGAGGTACTTAGTTGTCAGTCTAGTTGTCAAACAGGTGTGTACTTTGGGTCCCCATCCTGACTTAAAAAGATTTCTTTTAATTGGCTGAACCTTTGAGAAATGAAGGTAAAGGGAATTTATTTTTGGGTATAAATGGTAATTTCGAAATGATGGTGATGACATTATGTATGCCTGGTGCCAGTTCGACTCGGTCTCCATGACATCCTGAATCTGACACTTGATAAATTTTGCTTGAAATACTCTATCTCTGTCTTTAGCCATGATTTGGTTAGAAACATTAATATCTTTGTCGAAAAACTCTTTCCGACCCAATGCTGTCAAATTTGTTTTATGTCTTGAGAGATTTTTTCCCAGGTTAGTTTAGTCATGTGGAAACTACAACCAACCTTTATCAAGTTTGATTGTTCGGTGAGGTCTAACCTTGCCAGTCAGTGAAGGTGTCGCTAATGAGAGTGAGTTTGCTTTGCAACATGTCATGTTCACTGTGTACCCAATATATAACTGTTGGCAAGTGGTGCACTTTGGCACATGTTAATGCTGTAAACTATTCTCTTGTAATGATATGTGAATCTTTCTGATCGGTCAAGGAGCGTGACAGTTGCACATAACACATTTTACATCGTTAATGAAATAGACGTGGCATTGCCACAGAGTTGTGTTCCAGAATGAACATTATGTGACTGAAACACTGCTCAAAGTTGATTAAAGCACAGTTCATTGTTTGGGCCAACATACATTCAGCGGTCCCCAAGTAGTTAAAGTGTTCGCTTGTCACATCGAAGATCCGGGTTCAGCTCCGCACATGGGTACAATGTGTGAAGTACATTTCTGGTGTCCTGAAGTGATATTGCTGGAATATTGCTAAAAGCAGCGTAAAACTAAACTCACTCACTAAAGTGTTCTCTCGTCACGCTAAAGGCCCATGTTCGATTCCCACATGGGTACAATGTGTGAAGCCGATTTCTGGTGTTCCCAACCGTGATATTGCTGGAATATTGCTAAGAGTCAAGAGTGGCGTAAAACCCAACTCACTCACTCACATCAGATGCTGACATGTCTTGTAATTATTTGGGGGGGGGCGGTGGGGTAGTCTAGTGGTTACAGTGTTGGCTCGTCATGTCGAAGACCCGGGTTCGAATCCCGACATGGGTACAATAAGTGAAGCCCATTTCTGGTGTCCCCCGCCGTGATATTGCTGGAATATTGCTAAAAGCGGCGTAAAACCAAACTCAGTCAGTCAGTCAGTGTAATTATTTGGCACAGAATGGATGCAACAAAGCAAAAAATACCACACCACTCTTTCTTTGACGGATAAGAACACCATCACAAGCATTGTTTTTTACACGATTAAAACTGAGAAGTGAGATACATTTTATCAGTAATCTCCCTTCCATACAACCAGAAGGAAACTGTCTTCTCTGATGGAAAATAATCCTGTATATGATAGCATTGTTACTGTACATGATTACTCATCCTCTTTCCTGAAAATATTCTTCAGATTAAACTGACAGATCCGGTAAGGCCAGTATTCAGGAAAAATGAGTTCATTTTGATCTAACCAAGCCGTGTGAAGCCCATTTCTGGTGTCCCCCGCCATGATGTTGCTGGAATATTGCTAAAAGCGGCGTAAAACTAAACTCAGTCAGTCAGTCAGTCTAACCAAGTCCTTCCAAAGCATGGGTCATGGCTGTTGTTTTCTTTCAGCCTGTGTCAAATGATATGATGTTACTGATCCATTGATGTATGAAGATCCGGGATAGAACTGATCTTCAGTAACCCATGCTTGTCGTAAGAGGCAACTAACAGGATGGGGTGGTCAGGCTCACTGACTTGGTTGACACATGTCATTGTGTCCCAAGTGTATAGATTGATGCTCATGATGTTGATCACTGGATTGTCTGGTCCAGACTCGATTATTTACAGACCGCCGCCATATAGCCCGAATATTGCTGAATGCGGCGTTTAAACAGCAAACAAACAAACAAAACTGATCCATGCCTGTCTCTCTTTCCCTTACTGCTAAATTCATACTCATGTTGAAAGGTCAAAGTTTATTGCAGAGAACAATGAGAACAATGTCTGGTCATTAGTCATGAATGTAGGTACGTCATTTGTACCCCGACAGAATTTAGTTGTTGGGGCACTTATTTTTCACACCATTGGCACATAAACAACTACAAAATGTGTCGTTTCTTGTAATTACTTCCTGACCCTTTCATCTGTCATATACTTCCTGACCCTTTCATCTGTCATATACTTCCTGACCCTTTCATCTGTCATACGGGCCAGTTAATTATTTTCCGCAGTTAATTGTTTCGAGTTTCATCCCGACCAGTTACACAGACATGCCTAATATCATGATCCTGGGTTCGAATGTCTGTTTGACCTGACTATGGTTTGAGATTTGTCAGCACGTTAATCAAGCTTGAGGATTTCACTGAAGTTTTATTACCACATTATGACTGTATATGGTGGGTTTTCCTCATGTCACGATATTAGTGACATACCTGAAAAACAGTTTAAAGTGGCATGAAACCATACTCACTGATTGTAATAATGCCATCGGAATTGAGACATTTGGTTTGACAGTGGCTTCGTAAGAAGAACTATTCGGATACGTTACCAGTGATGATGTCGTAGACATCTATGGGGTTCAAAGATCATTGCTAATGGCATAGCTAAATTTGTATCTGTACTTGTCTTTAAAATTATAAATGGTACTGTTATTCTATCAACTCATTTTGATATTTTTTTATATGAAAAGGAAATTTATGAGGTTCTCTTTTTCTTTTCAACCAAGATACATGAGGAGGGGACCCATGATGATCCGGGTGAGAATCGATCTTCAGCAACCCATGTTTGTAAGAAGTGATTAATGAGTTTGGGTGGTCAAGCTTTCTGACTTATGCCATCATATCCCGATAGATCGATGTTCATGCTGTCAATCATTGGATCGTCTGGTTCAGATTTAATTAATTCAGCGGACTGCTGTCATGTAGCTAGAATATCGCTGTTATACTAAGTAACAAAAGAGGCATGAGGAGGTTGAACTAAATAGAGTGAATGAGTGAGTGAGTATTAATGTCGCACTTAACAATATTCCAGCCAAATCATCATGGCATGACGGAGTTATGCCGGCCATGTTCTGAAGTAAATAATGTGTCACCCAGGTGTTGATAATATTTGATTTTAAAAGATGCAAGGATCAGGTTCTCTTTACCATCGAAAACATTGGGTAAACAGAAGAATCCATGTCATAAGTGTCAAAAGCTAACTAATGGTCAGTGACAGAGGTAAGTGATGTCAGTATGAAGTCCAAAACATTCAGTTCTATTCTGTAGCGTATATAGCAGATTCTAAACGACCTTCCGTGTAATACCATTTGTATTAAACAAGTTAATGATTTGGTATAAAACTGGCGAAAGTGAGTTTGATGCTAAATTTTTCACAAGTTTAATAAAAATGGTATTTCACGGAAGCGTATTTTGTATTCTGTTTATTACTCTGCAACATAAATTGATAGAAAGAGCCTACGTAGTGCGATGGCTCTCAGCTTTCTTCGAGTCAAGCAAGGTCCAATACCATTGTGATAGAGGTATAACATTGTGATGTCATGACTGAAACCATTATGACGTCATACGTCTGGCGGTATTACACTAGTGTAATATTTCTGTAAAAATATTACACTGCAGTATCTTCCACGGGCGAGTAATAAGTCAGGATACATTATGTGAAAGCCAGGTTTACATGACAAGAATTGTTACCTGTTGATTACTCCACAGACCAGGTGTTACCTGAGCATGAGGAAAAGTTTGCTAGAAGGAACTTACTTCAGGGACAAGAGGTAAATTTTCCACTGCTTCCCTGGTGAGACAAAATGTCTGCCTTGCCGATGTAAAACAATTAGTTCATATTGGGAGTGACCTTTATATTTTTGCAGGACATGTTAGTTTGATAATGTGTATTGCCCGAATGAGATGTGTTATTTGTGGTTCTATGGGAATGTTTTGACTGCATTCACCATGTCTATCATGTTTGTGAAATTAGATTAATGATCAAAAACAGTAAAGACTTTGTAGGTCTATGATAAGTGATGGTGAAGCAGAGCTGTGGTTGGTGACAAGGACTGTTTTGTAGTAAGTGAGTCTGAGTGAGTGAGTTTTGTTTAACAACACACTCAGGAATATTCTAGTTTATGGTCACAGCTGTGAGTAATAATCGAATGTGGACCGTACAATCCAGTGATCAACATCATGAGCATCATTCTACACAACTGAGATATGATGACATGCCTCAACCAAGTCAGAAAGCCTGACCACCTGATCCTGTCAGTCACCTCTTATGACAAGCATGGGTTACTGAAGACCAATTCTAACCTGGATCTTTGTAATAAACCTGAACGTATCTATTTAGTGATATTTCAACTGGAGCTATCAACCTTCCACTGTCTCTTCAACAGGTATCATTCATTTATAGTATGGACTTGTGGTAGACATTCATCAAGGTCAACCCACCATGAGAGCCCTTTTCGAAAAGCACGCTTTTGTCGTAGTAGAATGGATCCTCTTGTGCTTAAAAAGTTTGAGGTAGTTCATCACTGATCAAAATCTGGCTCAGTGTAAATTTGAATCCTCAGGCTTTAGATGACATTTAGCAGTGTTCAATCAACGATAAACTACCTCAGATTTTAAACAGAAAAGTTTTATTTCCTGAATATGGACTGGATAATGGATTACTGTCCACCTCCCATTCATGTTTGTTGGTATTTATTTGCAGGGCATCTCTGGAGGAAGCCGAATCGGACATCGAGGCCCTGGAGGCTCGACTAGAGCGGGTAAATATCAATTATATTTCACATGCATAAATACAGCTGGAAGTAAATCAGACAAAGTTTCCCTATAAACAGTACATTCTTGTTGAGGTGGTGCAGTAGCCATGCTTGTTCACACTGAGTTGTACTGTATGAGGATCAAGAATATTTTACTTCCTGGATCACAGAGTGGGACTGGGAAAAAATTGTTCTGCTAATGAAATGTTCTGGTGAAACCATGGTAACAGAATAAGGTCCAATAAAATAAATATTTGACACTGATTAGGTTTTATTTCAGGATAGGGTCAGTAGGTACAAGGGAAGAGGTTTACATTAGGAAAATGTTAACATGGTTAAGATGGGGAGCTGTGTTATGGATGTCCGTGATCATGTTCGACAGAGCTGACAGAGTTGATGTTGGTGAAGCTGAAGCATTCGATATGTATTGATGTCTCCCTGCTGTATGGGGTGGTGGCATAGTGGGTAAAGCATTCAGCCCTAACGCTGAAGAGTGAGTTGTGTTTTACGCCGCTTTTAGCAATATTCCAGCAATGTCACGACAGGGGACATCAGAAATGGGCTTCACATATTGTACCCATGTGGGGAATCGAACCCGGGTCTTCATCATGTGGCTGGAGTATGACTGAGTGTGGCATTCAACAACAAACAAGCTGATACAAATGGACAATAAAACATTTCTTAGCTCTTAAATGAAATTATGATTTTACGCATAAGAACTTCACTGCTGTCATTACAACTCCTAATTTAGATAGCTAATAGGATCGGGTGGTCAGGCTTGCTGACTTGCTTGACACATGTCATCGTATCCCAATTGCGTAGAACGATGCTCGTGCTGTTGAGCACTGGATTGTCTGGTCCAGACACGATTATTTACAGGCCGCCGCCATATAGCTGGAATATTGCTGAGTGTGGCGTTAAACAACAAACCAACCAACCAAAGATAGCTCTGACGTGATAATGCACCAACATCCAGAGGTGGAATTAACTTTAAAATTGCTAATGTACTCCGGTACAGTGGCACATGTAAAATCACTTGCCCTGGTAATTTTTCCACATGGCACATGTAAAATCACTTGCCCTGATAATTTTTCCACTATACTGGCCGTTTTTCTTGTTGATTTTTTAAATAAACAACATAATTAACATTGGAAAGTCAACTGGACACCGGTACAGCGTGACATACAAATTTGCTAGCCCAACAGAAAAAAGCACTGGACTGGGGCATCGGGCAATGGGTTATTTCCACCCCTAACATCAGGGATGGCAATATTCTGCCCATCAGCGGATTTCTGCTGATTTTATTTCAAAATCGTTCCTCTAAATCACACATTCGATGACAAAATATTACGTTTTTCGATGAAAATAGATTTTGCTGTTGCCATCCCTGCAACATAGCTGGGGTTTCTCTGATAAGGACAACAACAGATAACAATGAAAGTCACCTAACAAATGTTTCTAGTAGCATAGGACAAGTTGATGGTAATCAGAACACTGGTAGATGTAACTCAGCACTCCTATCAGCCTTCTTGCAAATGAAGCTATCAAGTCAAGTTCTAATGCTGTGCTATGTACAATTATTAACAAAGTGTTACAAAGTTTTCAGCTTCACCACCATCTTGAATGCCATGATGTATGAAATCTTTAAGATCTTTCCATCTTCAAATGGTTGCTGTTATGCTTTGAACTTCAATTATCTCTGACCTGAGAAGAGCTGGAGAGCTCATACAGCGCAGTTTGGCAGGGATACCTTATTTGAGGACTTATATAAGCATTAGGAGCTTACAGGATCCTGGTTAGCACATGACGGTCTAGTTATCCTTCATCTCGCTTCAGCAGAAGGTTGGGTGATACCACCCGGAGAATCTCATGTGAAACCTTTCCTTGACTGAGAGCAATTCTGCCATGAAGATGTTTCCAGATCAAGATTCCAGTGTTTTTTGTAGCCTTTCTTGTAGATACTGTGTTCAATAATTGCATTCTGTGAAAGAGAAAACGACCTGAGTCTTCAGTTTGTCGTCAAGGTCTGCTTGATGATCATTGCCATTATTATAATTCATTCATGGAATGTCATCTAAAATGTTCTGAAGATGTTTTACAAATTTTTTAAAGGATTGTCCAGTCAAAATAGGATAAAATTAGTAAAATGTTATTTGTCTTTAATCCCTGTAAGTTCAATTAAAACATGGTACTTAACATGGTTCATGGTATTTAACCCCTATGTCTGAGGACCCACTCAGATTGACTGTAAACCTAGGACCAGGGCCTAGATTTTCGAAGCTCTCTTAGTGCTAAGATAGTCGTAAGTTAATGTTAATTTGGCACTTACGACTATCTCAGCGCTAAGCGAGCTTTGAAAATCCAGGCCCAGGACAACGACCCTACTATTTGGTCGTGAAATTAGAGATCCTCATCATGCTCATATGGATTCCATGACGAAAGGAATGTGTCTCCATCATTCTTACCATTCGCAAAGGATGAATAGAGGAAGAAGGAATCTTCTAATCAAATCTTCAGTGTTGGTACAGGGTGCTAAATAAAAACAGTCACTTGTTGATCTTGACACTCAGCAATATTACAGCTATATGGCAGCAATCTGTAAATAATTGAGTCTGGACTAGACAATCCAGTGATCAATGTCATGAGCATCAATCTACGCAATTGGGATACGATGACATATATGCCAACCAAGTCAGCAAGCCTGACCACTTGATCCCGTTACTACAAGTATGGGTTGCTGAAGACCAATTCTAACCTGATGTCGACTGGATATGGATCCTTTTTCTTAATGTACATTGCTCAAAGAATGCATATATGCATATACCGACTGGATATGGCCATATACATGCACCTATGCACAATGGATGATAACCTTAACCTAGAACAGCTTATACAACAAAGTCGGAAAAGAATCAGGAAGTTTATGCCACAATAAGCAGGATTCCAGCTATATCATTGTATAGTATTTGACAGGAATATTGTTGTTAAATAACATAGGTTGTTGCCGAGTGTTGCAGTTTCTAGATTGTCTCATACTGACTTGATTATTTACATGCCATGAATATTTGTCGGAATATTACTGTTAAACAACAAACAGCATTCTATGAAGCCTCTGAGTGGAAGCACTCATGGCCACAATGTAACTTGAAATACCATGTTTGTCTTATTGATAGTCCTTTCCAAAAACGCACGTTTATTGATATATTTACAGATAGGTTTCATCGCTTCACGGAACAATTTTTATGCAAAAGTTGGTATTTTCTTGTGGATATTACAACCATTCGTATCAAAAACTTTGAAGGATCATATCATTGCCATGTAACTATTATAAAAAAGTTCTAGTTTCAACTTTCTAATTTTCTTGGGGTGTTTATTACATGAATATAGGACTATGGTACATCAGAACAGGTTGTTAAACTCCTGAACCATACTATTTTAAGCTAAATTAAGCTAGGAGAGTAGTGCCATTGCTGTCTAATGACTTCGAAGTACGTCTTTTACTGCAAATTAGCCAAGAAAAAAACGTAAAAGTAGCTATTTGCCAGATGCGATTAAAACAGGAACTGAGATTGTCTGCCCTCTGTTACAATGTCTCTTACAGCTATTTTAAGACTGATGGATATTTTATTGTGTGCAGCAAGCTCCAAATTATATGTTGATTTAAACGGGCAGGGATGTGATGTTGGAAGGGTTGCCAGATGCAGTGGCTGCTGGGGGAATGTACTTGCGGTTTAAACAACCTGGTCGGCAGTAACTAATGTGTAGATGGATCATTACACCATGTTAAGGAGGTTTGTGTGGATTCACTGATTTCCTAAGTAGTGTAATATGATGTATGACAGGTGAAATTAGGTGGTTTCTTTCTTGTTGGAGGTGCCCGAGTTACTGTGAATTTGTGTCCAATAGGCGTTCCTGAAATGATTGGTGATGGGTTCAAATCCCAGATTTATCCTGGTTTTGTTATTCGGTTTGTCAGTATCATACCTGTCATGGTGGATTTCATCAAAGTGGTAAATGTCTGATTCCTGCATTACTTCCGGTTTTCCAACCACACCAAGCTGACAAGCATGTTGTTATACTGGAATGCTGTTTTAAACAGCTTTTATCCCAACTCACTCAGTTTCCTTGTTTTTATGGGGGCAGTGGGGTAGCCTAGTGGTTAAGGCGTTCGCTCGTCACGCCGAACACCCGGGTTCGATTCCCCACATGGGTACAATGTGTTAAGCCCATTTCTGGTGTCCCCCGCCATGATATTGCTGGAATATTGCTAAAAGCGGCGTAAAACCAAACTCACTCACTCACTCCTTGTTTTTATTGATACCGTTGAAGATCTGGGTTAGAATTGGTTTTCAGCAACCCATGCTTGTCATGATGGTCTTACGGGATCGGATGACACATGTCATCGTATCCCAGTTGCGTAGATTGATTCTGTTGATCACTGGATTGTCTGGTTCAGACTTGATTATTTACAGACAAGAATTTACAGATGTTAAACAACAAACAAGTGAGAAACAAACAAATATTCAGATCTGCATGGGTCTATGTACCATTGGGCCTCCATTACTATTCCTAGTTTGGAAACTTGTTCAAAGAATAAGCGTAACCCTTGTCAGAACAAGTACAGCATTTGGCCCATAATACATGAAGCGTCTGACCTCCACAGAGTGAGAATCTTGTGGCTGTATTTTTAGATTTAGTTGATGTTATCACAGTTATTGTACACATGCATATTAAATAACAAGAAGGATGATGGAGCGGGGTTTTCAAGGGCTGTGTGGTGATGCTGATTGTGTCTATCTTTATGTTGTGTGTCATGTCCTACATCATTGTGGGAAGTTTATTCTTATCTCATATTGACATGTCATCACATGAGGGGCGGTGGGGTAGCCTAGTGGTTAAAGCGTTGGCTCGTCACACCATAGACCCGGGTTCGAATCCCCACATGGGTACAATGTGTGAAGCCGATTTCTGGTGTCCCCCGCCGTGATGTTGCTGGAATATTGCTA